CCCCCCCCCCCCCCATGAAATGGATGTAGGTGGGTCAAAAGCAAAGCACGAGCCGACCTTTATAACCCCTTGCGGTACTCCAACAAGAAAACTTGGGGTATGGAGGCGGGGGGCGGGGGCAAGAGAAAAGGGATCCGGGAGCTACAAAACCGCTGACAGGCGCCTAGAGGGACCTATCTAGGGCAGACAGGCCCGATAATCGCCCCCTTCTGTTTCAGGCACACTACGCGCTGCGTGCCCCCCCGGCATACAACACAAGACAAAACAAACAACCAGCAAGCAGTTGTGTACTTCCGTGGGCATAACCGTATCATCTTCTCGACGTTTCACGACAGCCCTCCCTTCTCTCTCTCAAGCAGCACATGCCCCGATAAGAACACAGCAGCAGCAGCAGCAGCAGCAGCAGCAGCCGTATTAACTGGTTGAAATTCCAGGTTCTTAACGAGAAGGAGCAAGTGATTATTGAGACCAGAAGGCAGCTGAGCACACGGCCGCTGCTTCGCACTCGACAAAACGACGACAAAAACACGGAACAGAAAAAAAACGTCGACGAAAGAAACAGCCGCTCGAGGGCCAAAACAAGGGAAAGAGCGCGAAAGAGCGGAGGCAAGCGTTACCCTGCCTCCCCTTGTTTTGCAACGCGATGGCACCGCCTACTCTCTTCCTTTGTGTCGCACTTCATAACACAAAACACGCCTAGGCATACACACGTCGCCAAGCAATCACCCATCTTGATGATACTTGTTTCATGGCATCAACACACCGCGGAGTTGCGGCACACTCACACAGGGCCCCCCATTGCCCCTGAATAACATCCCGCGCCCCCCCCCCCATCCAACCCTTCCATCGGCACTAAGAGGCGGACCGATCCTAGGAGATTTTTTGTGCAACACAAACACAACACTCTGAAAAAAATCTGCCCGGTAACCAAATGCCGACCTGGGTGTCCCCATCCCCCCGACTCCCACCCCCATCATGCGAATGGTACTATTTCACTTGGGACTTTTTGAAACCACCAACTGAACACACGGAACTTGATACTCTACTATAAAAACCGCTGCATCACATACTTATTCGCGCCCCGTGCATACTTTCTGGGAAACCTCCTGGGCTCGACATGATTAAACACACGACGGAACAATATCGCCGGAACGTATAATCACAGTCAACATAAAAAATCGATGAGATATTCGGACTACTGCTGAGTTTTCTCCACTCATGAACGGCGGGGACAAAGAAAACCTAAACACACACAACGGGGAAAAGAGCACGCTCATGCCCGCTGTGCTGCAGTCGCACATGCACGCTACCACTGCTCCCCCCCCC